TTCTTTTTTTTTTTTTTTTTTTTTTTTTTTTGCGGTATGCGGGCCTCTCACTGTTGCGGCCTCTCCCGTTGCGGAGCACAGGCTCCGGACGCTCAGGATCAGCGGCCATGGCTCACGGGCCCAGCCGCTCCGCGGCATGTGGGATCTTCCCGGACCAGGGCTTGAACCCGCGTCCCCTGCATCGGCAGGCGGACTCTCAACCACTGCGCCACCAGGGAAGCCCTGTTTTCAGTTCTTTTGAGTAGATACCTAGGAGTGGAATTGCTGGGTCTATTTCCCAATTGCTGGATGATTTTATCTTTTAACTTTATGAGGAGTCGCCAAACTTTTCTACAAAATGCTGCACCATTTATAGGGTTGGCCAAAAAGTTCGTTCAGGTCTTTGTGTAAAGATGTTACAGAAAGGCCTGAACAAGCTTCTTCACCAGCCCGATACCTTCTGCCGGCAGCGTATGAAGCTTCTGGTTCCTCCATATCCTCATCAGTGCTTGTTATTTCCCTTTTTTTTTTTTTCATTGTAGCCATCCTAGTTTCTGTGAAGCGCTATTTCGTCGTGGTTTTGATTTGCGTTTTCCTAATAGCTAATGATGTTGAGCATCTTCTCATATACTTGTCGACCACTTGTATTCTTCCTTGGAGACATGTCTGTTCAAGTCGTTTGCCCACTTTTGAAATGGACAGTCTTTTATTGTTGTAAGAGTTCTTGATGTAGTCTGGATACTAGACCCTTACGAGAGATATGATATACAAATATTTTCTTTCATTCTGTAGCTTGTCTTTTTGCTTCCTTGATAAAGTTCTTTTGATGCACAGAAGTTACTAATTTTGATGAAGTCCAACTTATTTTCTTCCTCTGTTGCTCTTGACTTTGGTGTCGTATCTGAGAGTCCATTGCTAAAGCTAAGGTCATGAAAATTTACCCCTGTGTTTTCTCTTAAAAGTTTTTGTAGTTTTATCTCTTTAGATCATTGATCCATTTTGAGGTATTTTCATATATGGTGTGAGTTAGGGGTTTTAACTGCATTCTTTTGTGTGTGGATGTCGAGTTGTCCCAGCACCGTTGGCTGCAAGAGACTATTGTTTTCCCATTGAATAGTCTCGATACCCTTGGAATGAGATATTTTCGATGATTTTTCATTCATACAGTCACACAAGTTATTGGAAGAAAGTGTCGTGATCACTCCACATCGTCATTTTGGCCTTAATATTTCAGATTTTTTTCCTTTTATATTTTTTGAAGCTTTTATTGAAGTACAGAATACAAAGAGAAAAGTGCAGACCTCAGGAGTGTACAGCTCAGGTGTTAACAAAGTTAACACAGTGTCACTCGCATCCCGAGCAAGGAACAGAATCCCTCCCACCATCACCCCAGCTGCTCCCTCGTACCCCTTTCTGGTTACTGCATCCTTCCTCCCCACGAGGATATAACCACTGTCCCATTTCTACCACTGACTGATTTTGTCTCTTTTTGAACTTTATATAAAGGAATCTGTACAGTAGATACCATTTCGTGTTTGAGTTCGTTTGCTCAAATTTATATTTATGTATTGATCCACACTTTTGCATGTATCATAGTTAAAAATTTTTTTTAAACAAAGAAAACATTGTGCACTCAATTGAAATCCCATCTGTCCTTTCTAGATGTGCTTCCTCTTCAGTCCCACCCCAGGTTTATCACTCCTGTGAATTTTAAAATACTATTATCAGACACATTGGGTATAAATAATATGTATTATGGTTTTCATGTTTTTATTCTCTCTATAAAGTGTCATTGTAGTGTATATATTATTATCCCACATCCTAATTTTTGTTTAACATTTTACAAAAAGCTTTATTTATGTTGATGCACGTAATCCCACTTTATTTCTCTTCGCTGACTTGTATTGCATTGTGCAAATATACCTCAGTTCCTTCCGTCTGTTGCCGTTCCCTCTTGATACACGTTTAGGTCATTGCCACTTTTTGTGCCGATAGAAAGACCGCTGCCGTGCGCAGCCTTGTCTGCTGCAGTCTCCACTGTACATATGTCCGTGTTTTTCTGTGGGCTACACCCGGAGGTGGACGTGCTGGGTGGTAGAATATATACATCTTTAACTTTACCAGGTTTTTTCAACTTTTTCTCCAAAGTGCTTATACTAATCTTAGTCCCACTGTTTTTCTACATCCTCACCAACGCTTGATAGTGTCGGACTTTTAAAATCTTGCCAATCTGAATTAATACCTTGTTTTCCTATTTGCTCTTTTACTCACACTTTCCATTCTGGGAAGGCTGGAAGCCCTGTGTTCATAAGCCACTCTGCTCAGTAGTTCTTAAACCTGGCTGATAGGGACTTCCCTGGTGGCACAGTGGATAAGAATCCGCCTGCCAATGCAGGGGACACGGATTCGAGCCCTGGTCCGGGAAGATCCCACATGCTGCAGAGCAACTAAGTCCATGTGCCACAACTACTGAGCCTGTGTGCCACAACTACTGAAGCCAGCATGCCACAACTACTGAAGCCAGCGTGCCTAAAACCCGTGCTCCGCAACAAGAGAAGCCACCACAATGAGAAGCCTGCGCACGCACGGCAGCGAAGAGTAGCCCCCGCTCGCCGCAACTAGAGAAAGCCTGAGGGCAGCAACGAAGACCCAGCATGGCCAAAAATAAATAAAACGAGATCTAAACAAATGAACAAACAAAACCTGGCTGATTATCGGAATTAACCATAGGAGCTTTAAAAATTGCAGACTGCTTCGGTCCCAGTCCTATTGTGGTATTGAGATGGTTCCCTGGTGTTCTTAAAGGTTCTTCACATTGTTTGGCTTGGCTGGAGAAAATGCTGCCCCAGATCATGAGAATCTTTGGAATACGACTCTCTCATTTTTTAAACAAATGAGGATCCCCTCCGCCCTATCTACACAAGTGTTTCATGCCTTAGGGGTCAGAGTTGTAGATCCTATTGTAGTAAATTAGTAATAATAGAATTGGTAACAGGAGTAATTAGTAATAGTGCTATTAGCAGCGCTAGTAATAGGAACAGAGTTAGGAACAATAATAATAACAGAGGTAACATTTAAATGGTGCTTATTGGGTGCTAGTCACGGTTGTAAATGATGTGCATAAAACAGCTCATGTAATTCTCATGATACCATTGCAGTTGGCTTCTAACAGAGGAGAAAACTGAGGTATAGAGAGAAGAAACCTCCCTAAGTTCTTACAGCTGGAAAAGGTGGAGCTAGGCTTCTGCCCCAGGCTGTCTGGCTCCCGGGTCATATGCTCTTTATCGCCAGGCCCTGGGAGTTTGGGTGTGAGGAGAGGGTTGTGGGAAAGCTCACAGAGCACCCACAGTAACGTTGAGGGTAGTGTGTTAATTACCTATGGCGCTGTGGCAGATTATCCCGCGTGTGATGGCTTAAAACAACAGGAAGTGTTATCTGACAATTTCTGGGGGCCCAGGAGTCCGGATGCAGCCTCGCCGGGCCCTCTGCCTCGGGATCTCTCATAGGCTGCAGTCATCCAGGGTTCAGCCGGGGCAGGATTCACTGCCAGGTGAAATCAGTGTTGTCAGTAAGAGTCAGTTCCTTGCAGTTGTTGGGCTGAGGACTTTAGCTCTATACCAGCTGATGGCCAGAGGCCACCCTCATCCACTGCCCCACAGGCCTCTCCATAGACCAGCTCCCACATCAGCTGGCTTCATCCAAGTGAGTCTGTGAGAGTGTGAGCAAGACAGAAGGCACGTCGTCTCAGAACCGACCTCCCTTCACTTTTGCCTTATTCTGTTATTAGAAGCAGGTCCCTGGGTCCCAGCCCACCACTTGGTGGGCCTGGATGACCCAGGGGTGTGAGCACACCGGGAGGTGGGGAAAGTGGGAGTCACTGAAGAGGCTGTTTCTCCAGGTAAAAGTTCGAAACAGCTCCATGAGCTGCAGTACTGATGGTCCAGTGACACACAGTACGAATGTGCCTTGAGGACGACACATTTTAAGGGATTTTTATGTCCCTGATGCCAGTAGTCTTCAGACTCTACCAGACATACATCCTTGGCAGTTTTTGAGTGGGATGGGGGCTTTTCCTCCCGTGCAGCTGCTGCTTTCCCCACTGGTCTGCACCTAGCCTGCCCCGTGGCCTTTAAACCATATCTTGAGTGCATGTCTGATGTCAAGAACATCCATGGCCTGGAAGCAGCCACATGAATCCTGTGGGTGGGTGTTTCCTGGGGAATTAGAGTCATTATCTACTATGGAATTACTTTTATTTTGTTCCAGCCTCTGTTTTTCCAAGTTCTAGGGCCATGGACTATGCTGGAGTCACTTGAGGGTTGAATCATCATCACATAGTCCCGATATCAGCCGTTCTAGAATAAGTGGGTTGAGTGCGTCACCCTTCCTTTAATTAAGGCAAAGGGCTGTTATTCCCAGACATGCATCATATTTTATGAGATGTCACCCCTGTATCTTCCCACAGCAAGAACGGGATCTGTGTCCGGGAGTGTGGGATACTGTTTGCTTGGGCAAATCTATCATTACTTTACAAGAGCACTTCACCCTTCCCAGATTATATTTTAAAAAAATCAGCATTCGGAACAGGTACGTATGTATAGAAGGGGATCAGAACCTTTCATCTGTATTTCCGTCAGCCAAAGACAAACCACTCTTGCCTTTTCAGGGAATTTCCCTTCAGTTTTTTCTCTAAGCATAAATGAGTGTAAATAGCCACACACAATTTTATAAAACTGGCTTCAGACTCCACCTAAAGCTTTCTAAAACTCCCACCCCCTCCATTGAACAGTAAGTATAGTGAAAATGTTCTCATATTATTAAAACATGATTTTTATGATTTTAATGTGGGCATGGTGTTTTGCTGAAAAAATGTAGCATTATTTAATCAAATATTCCTTTCTTGGATACTTAGGTTGTTTTCCATCTCTCACTATTAACAATGAATCTGTGCACATCCATCTTTGTTAGGCTGTCTTTAATGTGATGCATATTGTTTTGTGAATATTTTTTTTTCTGACCTGTCTCCCTCTCTATCTTTGGTTTTACAGGGCGCAGATCCGTGCCCGGGGCTGTGGAGCTAGCTCTCCACTTAGCACGGATCTCACTGTTCCCCTTTCACAAAGCGATTCTCATCCTGGGGCCATCTTGCCCCCAGGGGACATGGGGACACATCTGGGGACATTTTTGGTTGTTGCAGCTCAGGGGGTGGTGCCACTGGCATCTAGTGGATAGAGGTCAGGACAGCCTCATACCAAAGAATGTTCCAGCCCCAAATGTTCATCGTGCCAGGGCTGAGAAACTCTGTTCTGATGTGGCCATCTTTTCTGTCTGTTGTGTGAAAGTAACTGCCCGGTTACCTGATGTGAGGGAGTTTTCCCTCAGTTATAAAATGGTTCTCAGCCTGGTTCAATGACGGTTGACAGTTACAGTTTTGTTCTCACCTGGCTCATCAACGCTCTTAAGCATGTGTGAGCTCATGGACAGTTCTGTGCAGCGTCTTCTTACCCTCGCCAAGCAAGGTGAGGTCTTTGCGTGAATCTCTCTTCTGAGAAGGTTAGAGAAGGTTAGAGGTTAGAGAAGCCGGTTTCGTTGGGGCTTGCGTGTTTGTCTCTGTGTCGCCAGTTTTGTTTTTGTTGTGTTACAAGATGTTCCACTGCCCTCCCCTCACCCTTCCCCCTTGGCGTGCTGAAGTCAGATCACTGGTATAGATCATACCCTTGTCACTGTCTGAATAAAAGAGGCCTTTGAACAGGTGCCAGAGTCAGACCACAGTGGAAAAAGATGAGGCCCCAAAACAATGCAACACAACCAGCAGATCTCTGTAAATTTATAGCGTAATCTTGCCATAATATGGGAACGAAGTAACCTTGTGATGAACTTGGTGGGAGGAAATGACTAACAGGAGGAGGCAGTCGGCACAGTATTTATATTGGACAAGATGTCCGAGTTCTCTTGAGCCCCTTCTGGAGTAGGGGAAGCTGGGGAGGGGGACGTCATTTCCCATAGCAGCATTTGGATGAAGGCGAAAGGAAAAAGAAACCTCAGGTGCTTTCATGTTCAGACCCCACGGCTATCTTTGGCCCGAGTCACAAGCAAGCATAGATGCAGTCCATCAAAGAAGCAGCCTGCAGTTCTAATGCTTTTAAAGTGCAGGTGCCTGTTCGTGGCCTGTGGGTGCTTTTATGAGTAAGCGTGTTGTTCTAAAAGATTGTCCGTGATCAGAGGCATTCAGGAGTTGCTTTAGTAGATGAAGCTATACCACTGATTTGGCCTTGGGTGTTTATTTCCTCTTCAATGAAGAGCTTACAGGCATGCATTCTGGGCTTCCTAGGGTAGCAGAATTTAGGCACAAGGTGGTGATGGCCGTGCTCAGTTAGCCTTGCTCATCTCCGTTGCCTCCAGCCTCCCTGTGATTCAGGTCTGCGAGGAAAGAGTCATGGGATAAGAATTGACGATTTCACCGTCATTCCTTAAAGCCAGGGTTTCTCAGCCTCAGCACCATTGACATTTGGGGCGGGACGATTCTCTGTTGCGGGGACTGCCCTGTGCATTGTAGGACGGTTAGCAGCATCCTTGGTCTCCACCCACTAGATGCCAGTAGCACCTCCCAGTTGAGACAATCAAATATGTGTCCAGACATTGTCAGAAGTCCCCTGGGGGCAAAACCACCCCCATTCAGACCCCCAGCTTAAACCTTGTTTTCTACAAACAGTGCGACTGAGGGTCTTGAGGAGTGACTGTCACCCCCACAGGAATAATAACACTGGGTGAGCATTTTCTGTGGATGTTGGCCCTTTGCTACCTGCTCTATGTAGATGACCTCGTTTAAGCCCCAGCAAGCTATACGGTGAGGGTTGTTAGGATCCCGATTTTACAGAGGAGGAAACTGAGGTCTAGAGAAAACAAGGAGCTTGTCCAGGTGCACACAGCTGGGAGCTGGTGCCGGGTCTAAGCATCTGATGTCTGTGCTGTGATGTCAGCCTCTCCCCAGAAAATCTGGTCAGTGGGAACTGAAAATCTGGGTGCTTTGCTCTCTAGCTAAGTCCTCAGGTAGACAGACGTAAGGGTCCCACGTTGTCTAGAGCAGTAGCTGTCAACTGAGGCAATGTGTCCCCCAGGGGACATTTGTTAATGTCTGGAGACATTTTGGTTGTCACCATGGAGATTGCTGCTGGCATCTAGTGGGCTAGGGATGCCGCGGGAGATGGTGCAATGCAGAGTCCAGCCCCCTCACGGCAAAGAATTCTCCAGCCCCAAATATTAACAGTGCCAAGGCTGAGAAACCCTGATCTCGAGAATTATCTTACTTCCCAACTCTTTCTGGTAGACCACGTTTTGGCAAAACTGGCAGCCCTGCGTATAAATTTAAAATTATCTTACAGTGTGAGGGTCAGTCCGTTCCCGTTAGAATAGGAATAACTGTAAAAACAGAGTTCTTCAATCCTTTTGATCTTGCTTTCATCATTTAATGATTTCCCAAATGCTTTGAGTTTTCTTGTTTTCTGTGGCCTTTGCCCCAAAGTGAGGCTCCCCTCTCACTTTTCATCTTCGGCCAAGTGAGAAAACACTGGCGTCCACTGAGTACACTTTGTGCAGCCTCTCTCGTGGGAAGCGGCCACTGGAGCGGAACACAAGTGTTCCTCTTGGGTGTTCATTCCTCCCGGCCCCCCCCCTCTAGGATGAATCGACTGGGGAGATTACGTTTTACATGAAGGGAGCGGATGTCGTCATGGCTGGCATCGTGCAGTACAACGACTGGCTGGAGGAAGAGGTAAGCATGACGTGGGGTGTGGAAACGGGGCCTCGGATGCGTGTCCTGGAGTCTGTCCCTTGCATGGAATAGTGTTTTCTGCGTCTATGTAACAAATCACCCCCAAACTTAGCAGCTTAGGAGGACGCGTGTAATTTCTTACAGTTTCTGCGAATCAGCAATCCAGGCACAGCTTGGCTGGGTCCTCAGCTCAGGGTCTCTTCGGCTTTGGTCAAGGGATCATCCGAGGCTGGCGTCTCATCTGAAGGCTCAGCTGGGGCGGGACCCACTTCCCAGCCCACTTAGTGGTCATGGGCAGGATTCAGCTCCTCAGTGCCTCTAGGCCGGAGGCAGCCACGTTCCTTGCCATGTGGATGAAACAGAGAGAAGTGAAACAGAGAGATGCAACGGAGAGAAGTGACTTTCTTGGAAACGACCTCCCCTCACTTTGCCACATTCTGTCTGTTAGGAACAAGGCACTGGGTCCAGTGCGCACTCAGGGCAGGTGAACATACAAGGGTGTGGGTACCAGGAGACGGGCATCATGGGGCCCCGTCACAGGCTGCCTTGTCCCGGATTGTGACGTGGGAATTGGCTGTAGCAGGGAGGGAAGGAACTCTCCAGTCTATCAGGCCATTTCTGTTTCATCTCCCATCTCCAGGCGCAGAATTCACATTTTATGTTCAGTAATATCATTTCCAATTAGTGAGTAACAAACCCAAATGCCGACAGGGGCCAGGCAGGTAACTCAGGTGAATGAAACGGACCAGGATGTGTTTCCTGACGGCATCACACTTTGTGCGTTGAACGTGTTGGAATATCCTTCACTTGACAGCTATGTTTTGTGGGACCGTGTGGAAACAGCCGCCTTTCAGTATCACTGGCTGTGGTCATTTGGGAAAGTGCTCTTGTTAAAAGTTCAGTTTTTCCAACGAGCCAGAAATCCAGATTAGTCTCTGAGATCTTACTGCATTGACTTAAATTTTGAGACCCCTTTGGAAGGTTTGCTGAGAGAGACTGCTTTAGGGGAAAGCAGCGTTCTGATTTACCATTGCACTGTCCCCTCGGGAGGGGCATCCACTTCAGCCTCCAGCCCTCCCCAGGAGAGTCTGGGATACAGAGCCCTTAGTGCGGCTCTCCGCTGACCAGGGTTTGCTTTTCAGTGTGGAAACATGGCCCGGGAAGGGCTGCGGGTGCTTGTGGTGGCGAAGAAATCTCTAGCAGAGGAGCAGTATCAAGACTTTGAGGTCAGTGGTTCTGTGACTTACTTTTCAGCCCCACTCACCTCCCCATCTTCCCCTCCCTCATTCTGCTCTGACCAGACTGATGTCATTTCTGAGAACACCAGGTTCTTCTCTCTGCCTAGTACTCTGCTCCCTCACAGAGCTCCAAGGCCCCCCTCCCTCACGTCCTTTGGGTCTCAGCTCAAATGCCACCTCCTCTGAGAAGTCTTCCTGGATCCCCCATCTAAAGCAGCCCCACCTCATCACTCCCCGTTGTCACCCTGTTGAACTTTCTTCACTGCATTTATCACCAGCTGTAATGACTTTGCGTATTTTCACATTCTTTTTTTTTTTTTTTTTTTTTTTTTTG